CTGTATCAATGATTATCATTTTCTTTTCTTCGATCAACGTTTATATTGATCGATCGCCAATGATGAACTCAATAAATCAGCTTCCTCATATAGACGATTGCATTCGGATGTTCTGAAAATTAGTTTATTGTTGACCACCCTGTAAAAAGGCTACTACATCCCTTCTGTAAACATTTCTATTTTTAATGAATTTATAGAAATACACAAAATTCATGATGTTTCACCCTCTAGCGCCGAATCTGGTCATCCGATCAAGTTGGGCCAATGGAGTCTTTCACTTAGAATGACTACAGCTACAACATATAAAAAATCCAGCCATTTTCACCGAAATACATTTTCCCATATAATGTGTGCGTGGTCCTTTAACAGTGAAAAGTAAATAGTTATTTATGTATCAAGGGAATTATTATAAGGGCCTTAATGGGCTTATATCACAAAAAATTTTTATTCCATAATTCGATAGAACTCACCCAAACTAGCTCACCACCGCAAACCGTTTCTTGCTGTGAGCTCCCTACGTTTTATAAAAAATTATTGAAATCCCCGATTTTTCGGACCTCTGAAAACGAGGCGATGATGTGACGTCAAAACCCTAATACTGAAACAAGACTATTCCAGACGGAGATGAATGATACATGATTTCTGACAGAGTGAATTAGCGCGAGATCACAGTTGAAAGAATTAATATATTATCAGTTGCCTCAGTCTCCGTCGGGCGTTTGGTATTTTCTATTAACTATGGCGAGATGAGGTTTCTACGTCATAAGAGGGTCCGTTTTCAGAAGGTACTATTATTTATGTCCAAAAATAAAACATTTCAGTAAATTTTTCGATCGAATTATGTCGTCAATCATTATTTATGTATAAAAGGATCATTATAAACATGGTTTGAGTTAAAAGTTCTACTAAGGTGTACACGCCCATTTTCGTTATCGCTAAGTGAAGTTGCTGAGAACTTTACAAAACCAAGAATTTGGCTGGTCTCGTCAAAATAAACTACTTTTTTCCTATGAAATATTTATCGAAAAATGATTTGTTTTCTGTATTTCAACACCCTGTATCTCCGACATGTAGCATTTCCGGACACAAGCTTATATAGACTCTTTTTCTTAAAATTATCTCAGGAATACTTCACTTGAAGATATATATATGTATATAGAGAATACCTACCTTTAATTTGATATTGATAACTTCATATTTTATACTTATCACTGGAGTACAGTTTCACATTCAATAAGGAATTATAGCTATAAGTTAATTATATGTGTATATTTTCTAATATTTTCATGTTGTTACATGCATTCTTTTTATTTCTATAACAGTAAGTTGTTCTGCTAGAAGTGTATCACTATAAATTGAAGTGAGTGTTTGTATATCCTATATCCATTGTCCATCTACGGCTATGATTGATTTGACAGAAAATATATAACCTCTAAAATCGTAGGTACTGACAATCATCAGGCGCTACTAGGGAAATTGAAAAGACAAAGAGCAGAATATATGTCTTATTCTTTTATTCACTTGAACCATTGTATTATAGAAAATAGAAAAGGACAAAAGTTCAACTGTGTCCGAACTCTTATCAAACTAATACCATCCAGTGACTCTAGAAAACCCCAAATAATCAAGTAAAATTACATCATATAAGGATCATATGTATTCTAGGAAACCATCAGATCGTCTCTTTTGTGTGATTAGTTGGCAACAAAATCCGTGTTGTGGAAATAAATAAAAAAGTAGTTACCCGGATACTATGCCCTGTATATCGAGGCATCCACAGCCCACTGCGGCGGGTGTTCAAAATGCCCCCACAATTAATTTCGAAACCACCATCAGCTACCTGATATTCTCCAAGAAAATTAATGATGTAAAAGATGAATGAAAATACTAACAAAATAAAAAAGCAAATCAAAAATGTAATTTAGCTACCTTTTTTGAACACCGACTTATATTACGAAGACCAATCCAACCGCCCAAACAATTTCCGACGATCGTTCCAAACGGGCTCCAGTACAAGATTCGACGATCGTTTGACTCGCCTTAGGAAAGCAATTTACTTGAAGATGGTATTTTTTCACAATGGAACAACAAAAAGTTTTATCCAAATCACCGGAAGCCGATTCAAAAAGTAATTTAGGAGTGTTGAGTCAGTATATAATGTGCATTTCTCGAAAATTTGATGAGTTTGAAGTAAAAGGTGTATGTATGAGCGTGTAATAAGTATAGATAGAAAAGTGTTGGCTTATACAGTGCTTTTCTTTAATGCCCCCCTCCCCCTTTTATTTTTTGAACGGGTCAACTGAAACTTGAATTATTGAAACTTGGGATATTGAAATTGATGCATGAATACTTTATTTTGAAGTAACATTGACAGATGAAAATTTCAAGATGGCGATGGCGCCATCTGAGGAGAAAAAAAAATGAATGAAGCTCCTGGCGAATACTTCACAACCCTAGAATATAAAGTCAATATCTTCACCTAGTTCAAAATGGTGGAATATTTAATTTCAATTTTTTCAGTCGACCCGTTCAAGGAATAGGGGAAGAGACATTGAAGAAAAGTATACTGTAAACTAATACCTTGATATAAGCAGTAGGTACCAGTACTGATTTAATGTGGAATAGAGGAAAGTTTATCAAGATGACAAATTGTTTTTACGTTCTCCACTTGACTGAAAATATGAATATCTATCTTTGATTTATTACTTACATATCCTCCCGAATCCCGAGACTACATTTGAAGTAATATATATGGAGTCAATATTCGAAAGATCGTTTTTTTTGTCACGGATTTCTGAAAAGAGTTAAAAAAATTGGACATCAGGATAATATCACTACTAATTATTAGGTGAATAAAAACTTGTAAAGCAATTATCGTTATTGCCTGTTAGAAACAAAAATACGTTACATTTTTCTCAATAAAATTTAGTGTTCCATTTGCAACCTGGATTTTCACCTTTAACAGTATATTTTTGAGGTCAGACGCCACAAATGGAAGATGTAGAGTCTTGGAGTTCTCTGAACAGACAACTAGTATACGGCATCAAATTATTGCTCAATTTCATCACCGTGTTCTGCAGCGAGGAGACATTTTTTTACTAAGAAAATTGCTAAAAGGAAAATATTATCTATTGAGAAAAATATTGGAGTACCTCCTGATGTCCAACTAAATGGACACGGTACAACCTATGAAGTGATTTTGATAACTTATTTTATCAACAAAAAATATTCTAGACCTTTTCTCAAACTATTTTCTCAGTAGTTTAAAACAAATGATATGTATAAAGTTTCATAAAATTTGTACTCACTGTCAATTGTTGCACGAAGTATTTAATATACCACAATACAACATGACAAAGCATCGAGTTCACGTCTGACGCATGAGTTATGCAAAACAGTCTTATTATTGTTATTGTTTTCCAGAAAAAATGAATACCTTTTGAACCATCAACAATTTGATTGAGATGTTTATAATATAAAAACATCTCAAATTTGATAACCACATAATACCTATCTGTTAGTTTGATCTATGACTTATGGGACTCCCTGTATATTATATAGCTTCAATAATACCTAATCAAAGGTGTCGTGCGATATTATGAGTGAAAATTTCAAGAAAAAAGTCTACATGAAACTTGTACCCAGAAATGTTTTGTTTCGAAGATACAGAGGGGGGTGTTGAAATTCAATTTTTTTCTACGTTACTTTTAATAACTGCTGCAAAATATAAGTTTTCCGCACGAAAGCTAGTAGGTATCCGTTTTTTTTTAGGTGGAAAATCAATTCCACTTTGGTTATTAGGTTTTATGTAGCGCCCAGAAAATAGTATAAGACTCCAAAGTTTAAAATTAAAATCCTCATTTTTGCACCATCTATAGGAAGTAGCAGGTACTGTGTTCCTTTTCATATAGTTATCTTTCGTCCATGTCTTGATCATGAACTTCGTGTAGTTATTCTAGTTTTTTTCTAGAGGGCGCTAGTTAACCAGATGGTTCAAGGTTGGTAGAAATAATCATCAATTCTACCAACGTTGCAGAGTGTTGCGTCGATCAGAAAACGCGGTGAGGCCGGCGAGGGTGATAATTCGTGTTCCTGATGACGTGACGAATTTTCGATGTTACTACATCACGATTTACCACATCAGCTCACTTCATCTCAACGCGTTTTGCTGATCGAGGATCGAAGCAACCTTCCTCCTCTACGGCATCGACGGATAAATAATCAACAATTCTACCAATCTTGCAAATTTCCTTGCATATTTCCAAAGTTGGTAGAGCTGATGAATGACTCCGTCATGTGTTTTTGATATTTATGACATCTGTCAAAAGTGTCAAATTCACAAAAATCGCAGTACATATTCGCCATTTTGAAATCCTGGTTATTACAAATAGAAAAGCAAGCGAGGATAGAAAAAGTTCCAGTTCTTGATTCTTTATAATAATGTGTTTTTGAAAACGATACAAAATGAATTCGTTACTTGGATATGGAAATGGAAGTGATGATGATCTGGACGAATCGCCAGATAATCGACAAATGGTAACTACCAACCTATATTCTATTTTTCATCATTGTGTCCTTGTGACCAAATTATATTGATTCTGCCATACCGGAATTAGTAGACATCTGATTTGCAGTGTAAAATTAGGGAATAATTGAATTAGATCACTCACACTACATTTCCACATGTCTTCAAACAATAATGAACTTGTCTCAGAAATTTATTACAAGAACCTCATTCTATATTATATCCTATAGCTTTTATGTGATAACATACTAATGCTTTATTTGCCAAAAATTAGTTCGATCATCACCAACAATTATTGACAGGATCTCCAGATGAGCTCAAGACCCTACAAGAAACTGGTCAGACCTCAGGATGATACCAACTATGATGAAGTGCAGATGAGTCTAAGTGAGGTAATGATAGTTGAGAATAGATTATATTTATTTTTATATTCCACATGAATTCATGTACCTTCCTATTTCTATAATGACAATGAAATTTTCAATCTGGAGTTAAGGAAACACTTTTTTTTTTACTTTTTTATTTTCATCTTGTTTATACTCCTATGCATTTTTATAGCATTAAAATTCTAGATTGAAGATAACCTCTTTGTAGATTTCTTGGATTTTATTGTACTTTCAGTATGACATTATTCAATTTGAAATACAAATCATCAGTATTTAGTGTGTGGCCACGTTTTTATTGATACCTTTGAATTAGATTGTCAAAGTTTGGTAGAATTTTGCTTCAGTTATAAGTCATTTACACCTAGTCAATCATTCACTTGATAATTCATATCCATGCATTCATGTATTTATTTATTCATTCAAATTGCATCCCTTTATATTTTTTGCCATAAGAAATTTTAAAAATATTTCTATATTATTTCAAATTATATCTAATACATGTAGCTGAGTGGTTCATAGCAGGTGTATTTCCCATATTAGTGGAGTCATAAATTTTTAATTGTACAGTTCACCATAATAGAATAGAATCCAAGAAACTATCAATTTTGACAACTTTGTCAATGGACACATTGTAATACCAAATAATTTCATACAGTCAAAACGTTTGATATTAACTCACTCTGTTAATATATTATAAAGACCTTGTATCGAGAGCCTCAGCACAGAAAAAGCCAATAGGGAACATCCTCAACAGTACTGTGGTGAGTATCAAATTTAAGGAAGGTGACAGTTATCATTTTCCTATAAATTCAACAGGTAAATTGTGAACATCTTGTATGATAGTTTTTCAAATATATTTGATTCATAACAAAGTGTAAACTAATTTTTTATGAAAATAGTTTGAATTTATCATGATTTGTTGATCAGTCAGTTATTATAAGAGATATGACATTAGTTAAATTAGTGCAAAGTTGCTTTATGGAATTATGAGAAAAAAAACAAATTTGTAATTTTCTTCAAGTGGAAATCAAACTACTAGACGTTTTTTGGGTTCAGTTGAGTGATGTGATGATTCTTTGTAAAAGGTTCTTTGAGATCATCCTAGTTGAATATGTCTAGATATTATGGTTTTCTTTGAAGATTCCACATTTTCCAAATTTTCATTTATTTTTCAAGTTAATGGTTCATTCAGCATAAAAATACGCAATTTTGCACAAAAGGCTCAGAAAACAGGCGCTCACCTATTTTGTAGGAACAAATATATGTTGTATACAGAGTATGAGAAATTTTCTTGCTCGTCAAAACGAGTTTTTTCATTACTAGAATGTCATAATTGTTGTTTGAGGACCACCCTGTATATAAGAATAGGTTGATCATGCATCATTTCAAGATTTTTGACCATCGTTCGAACCAGATTGACAGGAACACAGAGCCAATAGAAATTAGAGCATCAAATCATGCATTATCTTAATAAAACATTCATATTTCAGTAACGCGTGTGACAATTCCAAAAATGTTCCTTTAGTATCGAAAAAACATATGAAGCAATATGTTTTTGACCCCCTAAAAAAAAAAAAAGAATTTTTTTCTTTCAAACTGGGCGCTTTTGAAATTTTTGGAAAAATGCACAGCTTTGATTATCATCCTGTAGAATCTTATCCGGAGAAGATGAAATTGTCATATCCATATGTTCGATAGTCAATGAAACGAGCTTTCAAAAACTGAAAAATATTTGAAAATCGGCTGAAGAAATCGAAAAATGCGAATTTACGTTTCATGTGTTCAGCAGTTTATTACACTCCACAGGGTATTACAAATTTCATGAATAAAACACACTATAAAATTGCTACACCCGATATTCATAAAAAATAGGTTCTTAGACGAATACAGTTTGCACACTAATGTTCAGAAGGAAATAACCTGTCATTCAAAAAATGTTCAAATCGAACAAGTAGTTTTGACGAAAATGTTTCCTGACCTTTTGGCTAGTTTTTGGTCGTGCGCTAATTTCTTGGAGAAATGTAATTCTAAGTTCAACACTGCCGGTAGAATAACTAAAACTACTCTCCTCTTCGCTAGATGATTTGGTACCATAGATAAGACGAGACTTTTTCCTCCAGGATTCAGATAGTGAATCGAAATCGCAACAGAAACACGGTCGCGACAGACTCGAAAGCTACCGTAACGCCCCCAAAGGCAGAAGAGAGGATCCTCCAAAAGATAGAAGAGACGACAGAAGAGATGACAAAGAAAGAAGCAATGGTCCTGCAGAAAGGACAGAAGATAGGTCGAGGTGAGCTAAGATACATTGGGATCAAGCTGCAAAATCAAAATTGGATTGGTTAAAATGCTGTGAATACAAAAAATGATTGCGAGAATAGTTATTAGAATGAAGACAGATGCAACAAGAGACGAAGGAATATGATTTTTCAGTTGAATAGTAATCTCACATAGTTTTCATTAGGAAATGTTGTCATTCCTTATTGAAATTCCTTCTGCCACTTCTGCAATACAAGCTAATACTGCTAATAGATTGAAAATGTCTGCAACACACATGATCTTATTTCGTCAGCATGTCAGACCAGTCCTTCCGTTTGATTGCATGAATCCAATCTTCTTGCATTATTTTAGAAATTTCACAAGTATTAACTATTATTAGCTCCTATTGCAGAAGGAATTCCGATGAGATGTTACCAAATTTCGAAAATAAAAACTATATGTGAGTGACTATAGTGGGTACTTACTTTTAAATCATAATATACCAACCGGATTCCTTCGTCTTCCGCTGCAGTTTTTGTGCATTGTACAACAGCACAATGTGATGGCATGAGCGAATTAATGAATAGCCGAAAAATACGATTCCAATGGCAAAATAATTGTGAAAAACTATTTCAATCACTTGTAAACAAATAAGAAAAGTGAGCTTGTGTTTCAATGTTATGCCTCCAGGGTCGGTCATCTGACAGTTCTTGCAAGCAACCCATCCGGGTTTGATCAATCTTCGGGTTTTATCATGGACTGAACAATCGGCCCTTAACAGACCGCTCTGGAAGCGTTCAAAAACCCCGCTCGCTATTTGTCATACGCTTATTTGACATCGCGAATTCATTTGAAAAGTGCATGTGGCCTTGAGCTAGGGCGCCGTTGCCGAGTTTGTTTCTGCGCTGAAATTCGCTAAATAGCCGTTCACGATGCGAAGGTACTGTCGGTTCGAATCCGGCTATCGGCCGAGCATTTTTCTTTAAAATGTGGGTTTCATGGTTGAAATCCTGGCAGCACCTCGATGCCTTAGAAGTGGTTCGAATTCCACTATAAGCTATAGGTCCCGCTATTCCTAACCTAGCTTCCGCACAAGTTTCGACTTTTGGGGAGTTGGTTCCCAACTTTGAAGTAGCGATATACAAATTTTACAAAAAAAAAGTGTGTCAAGGAATCAGCGTTCATGACGAAGAGTTTTCCCGTAGATATAGGGACAAGGACGAGCCTAGGATCGACAGACCGAGGACAAGAGAGGAGGAGAAACCGCGCTTCAGAGACGGCAAAGATGACGAGCGAGAGCGGGCGAAGAGAGAAGAGGATAGGACGAGGGAGAGAGGCGACCGATTCAGGGAGGAAGATAGAGTGAGAGACAGGAGGGACGATAGGCGAGAGGGGTCTAGAGAAAAGTAAGTGCTTCTGATGTTGACATTGAGGTGTTTGTGTACTTTGTTTAGACTTCTAGTCCCGCGAATCCCTAATCACAAACTGAAATTATGATGCAGACCTCTCAGAAACATGACATTATTTTTATAAACCTAGACTAAGAGATTCTAGGGAAATTTCGTGAATCGATTGTCAGCTGATGTAAGACAGACTGTTTCGACTTGCCATAAGTCTCATCAGTTGCACTGGCCAGCTGACAATCGATCCACTGCCATTATTAATTCAACATATCATTGACATAACCTCCACCATAACAACAAAGAAATCACAACACATTGGCACAGAACCCATTCGAGAACCGTTAGTTCAATGTTGCCAGTTCATGCTATACCACATTTGATCGTTGTGCGACAATTTCTATCGACATATGTCGCATACGACATATTTCGTTCGACATTTGAGAATAGGCCCCCAGAACATGAAAAAAAGAAGTATTGTGTGGTCCACTGTATCAAAAGCCTTCTTTAGATCAATGGTTGACTTTCCGAATTCGCAGATACGGAGGCAGCGACGACAGATACCGCAAAGACAGAGACATAACACACAGCCGGGGCGACATTTAAATCGAATTGACGCTGTGTTCTTGCCTATTTGTCAGCATTTTCGGTATAATTCGCTTCCGATTATCATGTTACCAGAAAGTGAAGCGACTTCAATAATGAAAGTTTGAAGTCTCCTAAGATCGCGTAGAACACAAAGTTGACTGTCAAGTTATAAGTCTCCTAAGATCGCGAAAAACAATATGGTTGACTTTCCGATTTCGCAGATATGGAGGCAGAGACGACAGATACCGCAAAGACAGAGACATAACACACAGCCGGGGCGACATTTAAATCGAATTGACGCTGTGTTCTTGCCTATTTGTCAGCATTTTCGGTATAACTCGCTTCCGATTATCATGTTGTCACTAGAAAGTGAAGCGACTTCAATAATGAAAGTTTGAAGTCTCCTAAGATCGCGTAGAACACAAGGTTGACTGTCAAGTTATAAGTCTCCTAAGATCGCGAAAAACAACATGGTTGACTTTCCGATTTCGCAGATATGGAGGCAGAGACGACAGATACCGCAAAGACAGAGACATAACACACAGCCGGGGCGACATTTGAATCGAATTGACGCTGTGTTCTTGCCTATTTGTCAACATTTTCGGTATAATTCGCTTCCGATTATCATGTTGTTACTAGAAAGTGAAGCGACTTCAATAATGAAAGTTTGAAGTCTCCTAAGATCGCGTAGAACACAAGGTTGACTGTCAAGTTAGAAGTCTCCTAAGATCGCGAAAAACAACATGGTTGACTTTCCGAATTCGCAGATATGGAGGCAGAGACGACAGATACCGCAAAGACAGAGACATAACACACAGCCGAGGCGACATTTAAATCGAATTGTCGCTGTGTTCTTGCCTATTTGTCAGCATTTTCGGTATAATTCGCTTCCGATTATCATGTTGTTACTAGAAAGTGAAGCGACTTCAATAATGAAAGTTTGAAGTCTCCTAAGATCGCGTAGAACACAAGGTTGACTGTCAAGTTATAAGTCTCCTAAGATCTCGAAAAACAACATGGTTGACTTTCCGAATTCCCAGATACGGAGGCAGAGACGACAGATACCGCAAAGACAGAGACATAACACACAGCCGGAGCGACATTTAAATCGAATTGACGCTGTGTTCTTGCCTATTTGTCAGCATTTTCTGTATGTCTGTATGTCAAGTTAGAAGTCTCCTAAGATCGCGAAAAACAACATGGTTGACTTTCCGAATTCGCAGATATGGAGGCAGAGACGACAGATACCGCAAAGAGAGAGACAGAAGACGCAGCCGATCGCCGAGAGACAGGAAGAGAAGCAGGTCGCCGCGCCGGGGCAGTAGGTCGCCGCGCCGGGGCGAAAGGTCGCGGTCAAGGTCGCGGGAGAGGGGGGTGGGGCGGGGCGGTAGGGGCGGCGGTTTCCAGCGCAGGTTCGACAGGGTGGGGCCGAACAGGACGGAGCGAACGGACAAAACCGGTGAGTGGACATTGAAGTTGACGATAATTTTCATTTTATGTTGTAACTATTTGTATCTCAAGTCTGGGATTATGAATTTGATGTACCATCTGAGATTACCTCTACGCGGGAATCAATGTTACCAGGTGGCGCTCGGTTTTCATCGTTCCATGTCAAAGCCACGTCAAAACTGGGGGAAAACAAACTCAATCCCATTAGTGCCATTAGCTTGTGTACGGTGTACTGATGAGAATGATACGTTTTTTAATTTCTTGACATTAATTGTCAATATTCGATCGAAAACGCCTGTTGTAGATGTTCTTTTGGCAGATATTTTGCTCTATTTAGATGGAAAAGGCAGACCATTAGTGGCAGGAGAAGCAATTCTCCTTGCTAATTATGTGATTTTGTGTGAGACAGAAGGCTTCAACAAAAGGCACATTTTTGCACTTTGTCTACAAACTTCGGCGATGAAATCTTCTCCACATGAAGTAAAATTGAAGTTGGTGTCCAGAGGAACTCCTGTAGAACAATGGATTTGTATTTGTTCCTGCAAAGCAGGACAATCTGGGTATTGTAAACATGTTGTAGCTGTTCTTTTATATGTCAATTGATTTGCTCGTCATAATTAGTTTGAATTGTTTGAACTATCTCCAATTCTTCACCCGTTCACTGTTCACTAAACTAATAAAAATGTAATAATGTAAAAAAATTAACCAACTCAACCATCATCACTACCAACAGTGCCAACACTTTGTGTCATTGACAAGTTTGACTACAGCTACAGCAATCTGAATGTAATGTAGTCTATGCACTTTATCCATAGACAACGTTTTTCGCCAGTTTGAAGTTCGTATTATGTAACCTAGATGTCGCCCACTTCGTGAATCTCGCGAATTGGCGAACACTTGATTGAAAAATATGGAAAGCCGAGGTAATAGTTGCGTTCCATTTTCTATCTACGGCTATGATTGATTTGACAGGAAATTCAACCTCTAAAATCGTAAAGTGAGTTCTGGCAAGCAGTCGAGTTCAGGAAAGACACCGCATGAGTTAGGAACAATATTTTTTCTACAAGGGTAGAAATAGGAACAACTAACAATATTGATATATTATTATCATCTATCTTCTAATAATTAGTGATATATCTATTGTTTGTACCGTTTGAAGCATTATGTAGGTAAGCTTATTGCGGAAACAAGCATGCCCATGGTGTTTGGCCTCTAGGTTTCAGACATTTCTAGGAAATGAGCCAAAAATACATCTTTATTTGGTGTTTTCACTTTTTTACTGTTGCACCAATCAATTAATCCCGTGTAGTGCTTCTCATACCTTTGAATTGGTCGTCCTGATTCCGAATCCGAAGTGATTTTCAACCTATTTTCACTCCTAATATCATTTTCCGGAAATTTGGATGGTTCCAAGGCTGTTAGATATCTTTTGGTAGTAATTTAAAAACTGGGGTTCAGTTCTTTCGGAGAGGGGGGGGGCATGTCACGAGTAGAACATACTCCCAAACTAAATTGCGTGCGGGTATAGGGTGAATCACGCACGCTTGTAGAAAAAAGCTATTTCGTGCGCTTCCAGGTGCCGAATCTAAAGGAGAAGAACCTTCCCCCGCTACCCCTTCTGCCTCCGCGGACCCCAACCAGGCGCGGTTCTTCGTGCCCGGTCTGACGGGCCGGTTCAGGGACCAGATCGAGAAGCGGAAGCTGCTGTGGCAGAAGAAGGAGCCGGAAAAACCGCAGGCGGTCTCCAGGCCAATGGCGGCCGCAGGCTCGAGGACCACGAAGGTGTGGGAGGCGACCACGTTCGCGCAGGACACTGACGGTGAGCAGAATTGCAGAAAATCACGATTTTTTATGAAAAAGTCTGAGAATCTGATTTTTTCGGTTAACCCTGTAGATACAACAGTATCACGATGAAAATAAAGTTAACTTCTGAAAGATGAAATTAATTGATTCTCTGACAATGACAATATAATCCTTCAAACATTAAAACATTCTATATACAAGGTGTAAGATCACACCACAACCTGGAGCTAAAATCTACTACTTTTATCCCTTGTATAATAAATAACTATTGCTGAAATGAGAATTTCCGGCAGCTTTCCGCGGCTGAATCCTGAGAACTGACAAGACCACGCCCACAAGTCGGCGGATCCAAAATGACGGATTTTGTAATTAGGATCCGATTTTAGTCAAATTTGGTATCTGGTGGTTCTCGGGGTCGGAGATTATGATTCGTTCGTCAAAATTCAAGATGGCGGACGGGTATTGTAATTATGATCCGACTCTCTTCAAAATTTCAAGCCGTTTTAAAATTACCGTGGCAAATTGAAAAGTATTTGAGTGATGATGCTATTTAAGAAAAAAAATCAACTCATCTTCAAACCACCCAAATTCTCCATTGCGGAGTCAGACTCCGCAGCGACAGACTATGTCCTTTTTAAGACGCGACTACTGGAAGGTTGAAAAAAAGCAAGTCATCATGTTCAAACCATCCAAATTCTTCATTGCGGAGTCAGACTCCGCAGCGACAGACTATGTCCTTTTTGAGGAGCGACCACTGGAAGGTTAAGAAAAAAATTCAAGTCATCATGTTCAAACCACTCAAATTCTTAATTGCGGAGTCAGATTCCGCAGCTACAGACTATGCTCTTTTTATAAGGCGCGACTACTGGAAGGTTATGAAAAAAAAATCAAGTCATCATGTTCAAACCACCCAAATTCTCCATTGCGGAGTCAGACTCCGCAGCGACAGACTATGTCCTTTTTAAGTTGCGACCACTGGAAGGTTGAGAAAATGATTCAAGTCATGTTCAAACCACTCAAATTCTTAATTGCGGAGTCAGATTCCGCAGCTACAGACTATGCCCTCTATAAGGCGCGACTACTGGAGGGTTATGAAAAAAACAAATCAAGTCATCATGTTCAAACCACTCAAATTCTCAAACCACTCAAATTCTTGATTGCGGAGTCAGATTCCGCAGCTACAGACTATGCCCTTTTTATAAGGCGCGACTACTGGAAGGTTATGAAAAAAAAATCAAGTCATGTTCAAACCACCCAAATTCTCCATTGCGGAGTCAGACTCCGCAGCGACAGACTATGTCCTTTTTAAGGAGCGACCACTGGAAGGTTGAGAAAAAAAATTCAAGTCATGTTCAAACCACTCAAATTCTTAATTGCGGAGTCAGATTCCGCAGCTACAGACTATGCCCTTTTTATAAGGCGCGACTACTGGAGGGTTATGAAAAAAACAAATCAAGTCATCATGTTCAAACCACTCAAATTCTCAAACCACTCAAATTCTTAATTGCGGAGTCAGATTCCGCAGCTACAGACTATGCCCTTTTTAAGGCGCGACTACTGGAAGGTTATGAAACAAATCAAGTCATCATGTTCAAACCACTCAAATTCTCCATTGCGGAGTCAGACTCCGCAGCGACAGACTATGCCCTTTTCAAGGCGCGACTACTGGAAGGTTAAGAAAGAGCCCGACAAATGTGATCGCTTTCGTTTTTCCCTTCCAGGCAAGGTGGCGAACAAGTTCAAAAGGCTGATGGGCATCCGGGGGGCGGGCGATAACGCCGCCGCCCCCGCCGTCGAGGTGCTGAAGAAGCAGGAGGAGATGTTCAGCTCGATGGAGCAGCAGTACGAGGTGGCGCGCACCGCGACGCATACGATGAGAGGCGTCGGTTTGGGATTCGGGAGTTATCCGCGGTAAACTCGGCCTTGGGAGGGGGTTAGATGTGGTGGATTACGGGTTTCGCGATTTTAACAGCAAAAAATTAAAACTTTTGCAAAATTGATCGCCCTGTAACTTTTTACTTTTTAATTCTTGTCCTATGCTGGGTAAATTTCGACCAAGTCGAGGATTTATGCTTCGGAGTAAACAGCGCCTGTATATCTCAGTTATTAGTCATGCGATTCCAACCAAATTTGGTGTGGTATGAATAACCATCAATATGATCAGTTTTACAGAGATGCACATTATTTTGGACAGTGTCGTGCGTTTCATAAAATCATATTAAGCATTTTTTTTTACAGGAAATTTAACCTCATATTATTGTTCCTCATGGTTTTGAACCTCCATATGCAAAAACTCACCTAATTCCGAATTCCGAAAAATTCAATCAAATTGTGACTGATTAGTAAATATGGAATTCAAGTTTACTGAGCAGATATTTCTTTGAATTGATTTTAAATTTTTCTGCTTCTATATTTTTCAACTCATTAGGTAAGGAGTTAAATAAAATTATTCCATTATGGAATATTGATTGTTTACCAATATTTGAATTATTTGCTATACAGAAATTTTTTAGTCTTCTGAAATGACTGGGATAATATGCTATTGGAATAGGTATACTCCTGGTATATTGGCAAGATACAATCGCTCCGATACAGTAATCAAAAAGTGCGTTGGGAATATTTTCAGCTATTATTCTGTATCCACAATTTTCTCGTTTTGTTTCAATTCTGAGGTCTTTTTTTCCTATGTTTAATATGTTTATTGAAATTTTTGTGATTTGTAATTAGAAAAAAAAAGTCCCGTTTACAAGAAATGGGATATATATTCATGGAATTTGCAATAGTGAAGTGCAGCTAGTATCCATGTCTTCAGGTTTCTTGTGTAAAATAATGAAAATTTTATGTTGGGTGAAACAAAAATGTGAAGAAAGGGAGAAGAACCATTCTAACCTCAAAATAGAAGAGTTTACAACGGTCTTCTCAATTTCTAATGATATATTTGTGCCTCCTTATAGTATTTGAGGAGTCGCTTCATCAGACTGTACAGTTATTGTGTGAATATCGGGAATGTCATATGTATATGTTAGGTTTAATTTTATTTCGTTGATTAGCATCAATTTAGCGACACGACTTATTTTTTAATTTTACAGCTTCTATGCTAATTGTGGCGAGTTTGTGATTTAGTGATAACAAACATTAAAATTGTCCATAGCTGTTGCGAAACTGAGGTCTTATTAACTAATTTCTGCCCTTCCACTTGACTGTGGAAATAAATGAATAGGTACTAGACTCTGACGTTTTACTCAACATTGACTTTGTTTCACTTGACATTGATTTAGTTTTACTTGACATTGACTTTTGTTTTACTGACATTGACTTTGTTTTACTTGGGTACTCATATTGTGATTTGAGTAATAAAAACATTTAAATGATTCCTAGTAGCTAAAAACATTGATGTATGATTTTTGCTACCTTAAAATGTCATTCACTTGACGTTGAATTGATCTTCATTTGACTTTTGCCATTTACTCATTCACATTAGTCATATTTGTTTGGTGATCTTAGTTGCGTTTTATTTCCTCCATTCTGGTAGCGGTGGTGGGAACAGAATGACGTTTACAAATATAACGAGAAACTTCATAACCTCGCTTGAAAGAATTTACATAGATCCAAATAATTTCAAAATCACAATTCTAGAGTTAAGAATCTAGAAAATAAATCCACTAATATTTGGAGCAGTGATTGTGGTGATTGGAGAAACTTTTCTGAGATCGACAGAGTTTATTATATCTGGGAATGAACATATGAAACCTGTCTTACTTGAAAGAATCATGAACTAGTGAAACTAATGCTGAAAATGTCTTCTAAATGTCTTTTACTTTCAAAAAGGTTTGTTTTTCGTCAATATAATTTGATTTTTTGACACCTTTCAACAGTCATTCCACATCATTCCTTGTAGTGAGACCGAATGGAAAGTAGCAACCGGAGGCGATTTTACTAAATATACTGCACGCTAGCACAAACCACGCCCACCATAATACGTCATATCTCCAAACATTACCGATATACTCGGAGTCAGCACATCGCACTAAATATACTGTGCTCCAACGCAAGAATACACTTTTTATGATTTTGACACGAATTCGACTGAAGCTCTCTCGTTGTCAATCTCTTGTACGCAGTAAATTTATATACCCAAATGGTCTACTTTGGCGCTGTCGACTTTCAGTCTGAAGGTCCATGGTTCGAATCGCTGTGAACTTGAACTTTTTTTTGCAACTTTTTTTTTCACCAATGTTTTTTTACTTCATTCTGGTTCTTCTTTTTCAGAAAATATTTGAAGTGAAATAGGTTAGTGCATTTAGGATAAACAGTCTCATTTTATTCAATTCTGTTGAAGAACTTAACTTTTGAAATATATTATTAATCAATGTGTTTTTACACTATATTCTGGTTTTCCTTCCTCAAAAATATGGCAATCAGGGATAGGTTAGTTCGTTGAGGATAAATAGTCTCTGAGTTTTGCCTAAGTACTTCGAAGATGAGATATTACAGTGGGCGTGGTTTGTGCTAGCGTACAGTATATTTAGTAAAATCGCCAACCGGAGTCGGAAAAGTTGCAAATAAAACGACACATCCAACTGATTCCGGTGGCGGATTCAGATAAATAAAACGCAACTCTTGTGATTTTGGATAACAAATAATCCATTTTTTTTTCACTCAACTCGAACTATGATCTTTGATTGACATTGACTTTATTATTTCTTTACATTGACTATTATTTTTCCTGCTAATGGGGGAGATTATGAAATAATGATGAGCATTTAGTTGGAAAACACTTTATTTTTCGCAGATTGAGCATAATTATAAATTAGTTTATATGTACAAGATCAGTCTATATACAGACGTAATGGTGTTCACTAAATGGTATCAGGAGGAGAAGCTTCTGCACCGCTATCGGGTTTGCTTTCGAGCGAAAATGGAGGGATTCTGCAATCGAAAGTGTAGCCATCTTCACGTTCCATGCGAAAAGTGCCCCTGAAAACATTAAACACATGACATTGGCATCGGAAAGTGTTAGACTTGTCCTTGATAACATTGACAACATTGATTTGATCTCTCGTTTTGAGGATTACTCACTTTATTGGCATTGACAGGAATCAATAATAATTATTCAAACTTTACTAGTATGACAATGACTCAATAATGTTGACCTGACCTCGAATTGTCATTGACTTGAATCAATTGAACATTAATCGGGCCGGAAGAAACTCGAATTAACACTGACAGGCTAAAATCAACGTTGACATGAATCAACAATGATTTGACCTTTATTCGAATTGACACTGGCAGGAATCAACGCTGCATTGACTCTGAACCAAAAAACCTGCATGACCGTGCTTGAATAAATATTCCAAGAAACACGATTCACGTGCCAAAATAATTGTGAAAAACTTTCATTCAATGTGCTGTTGACATTTAAGCCCGTCCAGACCACACAAAATACTGACAGGCACACCGAGAGCTGACCTGATTTTGTGGTTATGTACGTTTTTGTTGACAAGTTTCACTTGTGTGGACAGTTGTAAATTTTGGATGGGTCGTATAGGCTGGGAGACCTATCGATCACTGCGACCTAGAAGATCTATTGGGATTTCCGTTATCTAGTTTTGGTCCTCTAACCCTAGACTTCTGATGAAACCTAGAGTTTTGCTGACGGTTGAATTTTCCACCTCAGCAGGCGTGAGATAGACCTGTTCTAGGTGATTCAACCTTTGGCGGACTAATACTTTACATAGCAAAGTGTTCCGCGATTTCGGTCGCATTGTTGCAAAAGCGGCAAGTGTCAGTCTCCGCCAGGCCCATCTTTTTGAGGTGGTACCTCAGAGGGCAGTGTCCTGTGAGAAAGCCTGTGATAAGCTTTAGCTCTGGTTTGCCGAGACTGAGCATTTTGGCTCGGTTCTGCGAATGGTTGATGAACCTTTTCACTACGTCCTTGACCTGGATTTGCTGTCCAGTAGGAGGACTTTTCAATTTCTTTTCATTTCCTGGGTTCTGCCTTCAGGTGACCTTTGCTTGTCCCACAAAGAGGCTCAGGACCAAAGGTGCAGATTCTGCACCTTTGCAAGGCGATCAGCTGCCTCATTTCCTTTGATTCCTTCATGCCCTGGAACCCACATAAGTGTGACTTTGTTGTCCTTTCCGCTTTCCCACTTACATGAGTGTTTCAAAGCAGTCCCATGTAATCTTTGAGGTAAAAACAAATGAATTTAGGGCTTTAAGCGCGGCATGGTTGTGAAATTATTTCTGGTTCCAACACGGATTCCAAGGAAAACGATCCCACTAATGCTGGTTTTATATGACAAATCTTGACAAAATACAATGTTTGCCCCTCAGCAACCTGTCAAATCACGTAATTCTGGAATGATCAATAGGTTGATGGCATGTATTTCAGCTTGGAAGATAGTGAGGGGGTGACATACATTCGGGTGCATATACACCCGCGCCTACCCCTTCTTCCATTTTACAACCATCGGTGTACCAAACAAGGGACCCTCTGTCCAGCTGAGGCTCACGGAAACCGTTCCTAGGGCGACTTTTAATAACCAATTCAGAGACAGGATTGAAACCAAGCCTAGCTGGCATTAAGTCCGATGGTTTGGTTGCTGATTCCATTTGTACTTCTTGTAGAATGACTGTGATCAGTGACATCACCTGGTCTGGCCGATTCAGTGGAATTCAGTCTATGCACTGAGAGCTGCAATCCTCTTGATAAAAATATGCAAGGGTAGCATAGCTTCCATTGCTGCAGCAGGGCATGTATGCATAGTCACTGTGATCCCAAGAGACGCGAGTCTGGATTTTTTGCAGTGACAGTTTATATTTGTTATGTTAGATGTTAGATTGTCGTTATTTTTCATATAGGCCACGTTTATACCGTATGGATATTTGGTATCCTTACCAAGGTGATTTGACCAAATTCAGACTAAATGCCTTTGTTAACGCATGTTTACACCATGGCTGTGTCAAGTCATCCGTCTGACCACAGTGGTGATACCAGAATGGTCAATAGCTGACTGGACTCTCATCAGAACTTAACGTGGTGACTTTGTGGGCAGGTTTGAAACGTGACCGATATTGCCAAACAGCTGATTGGTCAAACTGATGGTCAGGCTTTATACTGAACGTATGTGCCCGGTCGAACCACAGACTTGACACAGCCATAGTTTCTTTAGGTGACTAATTTAACTAACTTTGTTTTGATTTGATCGTTTTTTTGAGGTTAGGTTGTGGAAATCCACTTAAATTCGTAAATTGTGAATAATACCTTTTAGTAGGTTTCTAAATTAGCTGAAATTGAATGGAATATTATTAAGAAGACTCATGAAATAACAGATGAATGCACTCAACTCAAGTCAAGGCTATACAAAAGTAGGCCAAAGTGTTTACACCGTCTTGGTCTTGGTCATATACAATTTTAGTTGGTACGCAACAAGTTTCGGTACCAAACCAAGCTGGTAACTTTACCAAGTGTACAGTTTATACCACACTGACCAAGAGTATTTAGTTAAAATATAGTTATTAGTCAGCTTACCAAGACACGGTATAAACGTGGCCATAATCAACGACGACAAGTTGTCTTCTTCTATTTTTTTTATTCGTCAGCTTATCGCAGCTATACTCTTCATCATTAGCTATCTTCAGACTAAATTCAGAATGTACCTCACAGTTTGCTGCCCCGAAAATTAGAAATTGCTTTAGTTTGAAAATAAAAACGACTTGGACTTTATCGATCGCGATTCTGTACAGTGTGGACATAAAACTGAGGAGTTCCGAACTGATTTCATGAAAATGCATCTGAAGGAAACCCAGAGAAGACAAAAAGAACACGAAGACTACACTTATTGTAAGTGACGCATTCCTATTGCACACCAACGAAAACAATGGGCTTATATCAGAAAAAAATTGTATTCCATAATTCGATAGAACTCACCCAAACTAGCTCACCACCGCAAACCGTTTCTTGCTGTGAGCCCCCTACGTTTTATAAAAAATTATTGAAATCCCCGATTTTTTGGACCTCTGAAAACGAGGCGATGATGTGACGTCAAAACCCTTATACTGAAACAAGACTATTCCAGACAGAGATGAATGATACATGATTTCTGACAAATCAATTCTAACCTATATAGATTGACTTTTTGCAGCTCCATGTGAAACGGGTCAACAAAGCAATGTTGCTATGTTTATGAAATATATTGGATTATTGTGAAATTGTAATGGTGCAAATGGTTTTGAGATTGAGACATTTCGTTGTCTAGAGATTGTTTATACTCCAATGATTCAACCTACAATCGACAACTCGAATATATTTTTCTGCAGTAGTGGTAGTGGATATCAAAAGATATTTCAATATCGATTTCGATTTCTCGGATATTTTGTTTGGATGATATGGCAACAGTAATAAGTGTCAGGAGAGTGTCAGTTTCAACCATATATCTACTATTTCTATATATGGCGCATCGCATATACGATATCTCAACAAAAATGGGACCAAAATGAGAGGTACTCTTTGAATCTATGAGAACGAAAAGTGAAGGATGGAAACAGCCATATTGGTTTGACAAATTTCCTATTATTTTTTCCCTACCTCGGTATCAACGCCTATTGGTCGATTTCATTACCTATAGAGACAGAAATGGGTCCCGCTTTGAGGAGAGCTATGATTCATATATCAGTAGTAGATATATATGGTTTATATATATATATATGGCGAGATGGGGTTTCTACGTCATAAGAGGGTCTCCATTTTCAGAAGGTACTATCTTTTATGTCCAAAAATAAAACATTCCAGTTAATTTTTCGATCGAATTATGTCGTCAATCATTATTTATGTATAAAAGGATCATTATAAACATGGTTTGAGTTAAAAGTTCTACTAAGGTGTACACGCCCATTACTAGCAGCTCTGAAAACCCTTAGAGGCTGAGCTCAACACCACACTAGGAAGGGTGATCCAAAAGATCAATTTTGTCTAGACATGGACAAAGACAGACAAACATGACGAAGGAAATGGTACCACAACATGAGGACTACTCCAGGAGGAGTAGGGGTTGGTTCTCAATTGAGGTGAACTGATTGAAATCAAAATTAACCTTTACTTGAATTCACATGACTTTTTGTGAGTTTTCTTACCACATGTGTCCGCTGGGCGCTTGCAGACTGACGTGGCTGCTATATTGAAAAGCGGGCAGCGTTCTGGTCAACGCAGGTTCTTGACCGACTACCCCCCTACCCCTCACGGTTTCCAGGGTGCCGGAAAGGGAGAATATCCTCCAGTGTCTTTCTCTCAGCTGGACGCTCAGGGAACCCAAGTTTTCCAGCCTGATGCAATAGCGCCACTGAAATGAAATGATTGTTACAAGGGTTTTTAAAAGCATCATCGTTTGTACAGGCTGTGACATTTTTGATGTCCTTTGGGGACATATTTTTAATAATAGAGATTATCGGTCCTCGCGAACGTTGGGTACTTTATTGTGAAACTGAGGATACTGTTAACATTTTGGTTGCCTGCTTAGTTTTTCAGATACCTACAGAGCATAATTGAAAATATTGCATCTTCGTACCCCCCTCCCTATATCTGCTATCTATCAACTTTTAGGAATAGTAAAAACTGTTTCTAAAACATTTTTAGATCCTAGAATCCAGTGATGGAGATTTTCGGAACGAACTATTATTATTCAGATTAACCAAAGTTGTTTTTTTCAATAAAGTATATTTTTTATATTTAGAACATTGATACTTTGTGCTTTTCAAAAATACATAATCTATAATATTATGAAGGGGAAAGATTTGATTGTTTGTTTGTATTGAATAGGCTCTGAAACTACTGGATCGAGTTGGCTGAAAATTGGTGGGGAGGTAGCTTAGAACCAGGAGAAGGTTAAAGGATACTTTTAATCCCGGTACCATTAGGAAATTCAAGATGGCGGATCCAATATATCAGACGAGTTTTGTAATTATGGTCCGATTCTATCCAAAATTGGTATCTGAGAGTTTTTGGGGTCGGAGATTATGATTCTTGCGTCAGAATTTGAAAATTCGGGCGGAATTTGGAAATTGAAGATGGCGGAACCAATATGACGGACGTTTTGAAATTATAATCCGATTCTTTTCAAAATTGGCACCTAGAGGGGTTTTCGTGATCGAGAATTATGATTCCTTCATCAAAATTAAGAAGTTCAAAATGGCGAATTTTGTGATTAGGATCCGATTTTATTCAAATTTGGTATCTGGTGGTTCTCGGGGTCGGAGATGATGATTTTTTCGTTAAAAATAGGAAATTCAAGATGGCGGACCGAATATGGCGGACGAGTATTGTAATTATGATCCGAGTCTATTCAAAATTGTTATCTGGGTGTTTTCGGGGTCGGAGATTATGATTATTTTGTCAAAATTTGGAGAGGGCGGGATTTGGAAATTCAAGACGGGTGGAACCAATATACCGGACGAGTTTTGTAATTATATACCGATTCTATTCAAAATTTGTAAGTGGGCGTTTTCGGGATCAAAAATTATGAATCTCGTCAAAATTAGGGAATTCAAGATGGTAGATCCGATATTGCTGACGAGTTTTATAATTATGTTCCGATTCTATTCAAAATTTTCATCTGGGGTTTTAGGAGTCGGCTATTATGATTCTTTCGTCAAAATTGGGAAATGCAAGTGGAGTAAAAAGAAGAACACGCTTTTATAGATGGCGATATAAATAATGTATATAGCAAAACATCGTTCGCGAGGTCTGCTAGTACTTATATATTTTGAGTATTAGCCTCGTAAATGGCAACATTTTCCTCATCAAAAATTTCCATATTTACCTTGTTTTTGACACAGCAGAGTGTTTTGTCATAAACTAGTCCCAATTTAACCAACAATTACCAATGTTCAGCACTATTTATTGACTATAAAAACTCTAGACCTAATCAGTAGGTGTCTTTGAAAAAGAAAATGCGAGTGCAGAATGTTTTTTTAATTCTTGTCCTACCTACCTACCAGTTGAAGTTACATATTTTTCATACAATGGGGAATGATAATCCAGGATGAAAACTCTAGAGGAAATATTCAATATGGTTGAGGATATAACTTGGTTTCTAAATTTTCGTAGTTGTTTTGGTATCTAGGATTACTATTCACTATTATATAAAAATCTGTAAACTTCCACAGACAGTCAGATGGCAAATTATAAAACATTCTGCACTTTCATTTTTTTGAGGTCTAATATTCAAAATATCATGTGTTATGTATTCTTGCAAAGCTCAATGAATTAATGTTTCAAATATGCAAAAATATACTGAGTGTTCTATTTGAAAAAACCATAACTTTGGGTTATATTTAAATAATAACAGCTTATTCTGAAACTGACTACGCCACTGGATTTCACATAAAAAATGGAGGCCACAGTTTTTACTTTTTCTATAAAATGAGCCATAGCTGAGGTACAGGGGCGGGGGGCTAGAACGTGACATTTTCAATTTCACCCTGTATATCAGAAATGGAGGGGGCTACTATGAAACATTTTTTGCAGTATCATAACTTTCATTGAAAAGAAGCCACAAATAAAGTGAGATATCACATGAGGACACCAAAAAATGGGACAGCCTGTAATGTTAATGGTTTTTCTTTACCCAGTATACAGAGCTGGAGTGAGATTCTCTACAACCCATGTAGAAGGGTATGACTGTAACACGGATATTTTCAGTAGTTTCTTTGTGGACATCTGATAACTCCAGCCAGGGGTGATTTTTGTTCTGCCATGCCTTCAGTGTTTCTTGTGCAGAAAATGGTGGATCTGCAAAGTATCATACCTTAGGAGAAATTCCAAAGATGCTCACTAGTAGATTGAACATAATTAGATGGCAAAGAATGAAACAACACTTTGTATATGTCAACTACCTACCTCCTTTGGGGTTATGTGCCAAAAACTTGTCAAATAACTCATGATTCAAAGGGGCCTTCTCAGCACTGACATAAGGAATGATATCTTCATGAGCTACATAATCAAGGCCTGGTATGGCATACAAACTTCTAGAGGATTCCTGGTTGCCCAGAAATGTCACTGCTTCTGTTTGAGCCCTCTGGAAAATCAAGTTCTACCATCAGTGAAACACCAAGGGAACAACCAATTCAATAAAAATAAAGAAACTGCACATGCCAAAACTCACACAGTGTGGATGTACTTATCATTAATTGACTCACAATATATGGGCAATCTCTTTGGTCAATGAGGACTTGATAGAATGTATGAGTCCTGCCTCTAACTTCCTTTCCAACTCCAGATGCTGGTTCTTCATCCCCATCTCTGCGATTTGGAAGGTCTCTATCATAGACTCTGGCCAACCATGGAAATAAGACTACACCCCTGTAGCCAAATACTCTATGCAATATCAACTGTCCTGTTTCATACCTACCTGACACTTTTGGAGTCTCTAATCTTCCAACTTCTGCTAGTCTGGAAACAAAAATGTGAATAATTTGATAACCTCACATTTCAAGGGGTGATATTCAGGATAATAATTCACCAAGTTTACCTTGCATAATTCCTACGAGCTACAAATACCCTAGCAGCAAGGGGGAGAATGTGCTTTCGAATTGAAATATACAAAGCATCCATTTTTCATTTTTGCTATTCACTATTCATGTATTTATCGACATTTCGCAACAGAATGTGCAATTTTATGTTTTTATTGTGATTCTGTATGCAAAGCTCATGGATTTGAAATTGTAAACAAGAATTTTGATGAGTACGTGACCAAAAGGAACGAATTTGACTTGAAAATTGACAATAAAATAACAAACGAATTCGGGACAGCAGGAATGTCAGCGCAGCAGGACAGCAGGAACACCTTTGACAATTGACACTTGATAGGATATCAGGATTTTTTCGACATAAAAAAGGTCAAAAATAAGAAGAAAAGGATGAAAATAGAAAAAGAAGAAGAAGTCAAATTGGTTATGTTAATCTATGTGTTATGTTATGGCAGAGTTGAAAATGTTGAAATCAAGATTATTATAACTTTTGATAATTAATCATTATGAATGTCTTGTTATAATGAGAGTGTTTGTAAATAAAGAAGACTGAATTTCGCAGACCTCAAGCTCCAGGTAATTATGACATATTTCATAAATAGTCAGTGTTATATTATGTTTCTTCCAGTACCAGAGAAATATGTCTGAAAACGTTGAACTTCAACAACTCGTCGATGAAGAACAAGATGATGAATTGAAAATACATGAGCCACGACCTTTTTGTCACTGTCCATATTTAGGTTTAATATTAGCCACCTTGAGCTCTTTATTTTTTTCTCTTTGCTCAGTAATTGTAAAATGGATGACAGACGTGAATCCTATGGCATTAGCAGCCTATCGATACCTGGGAGTGCTATTACCAGCAATACCTATTGTGATATACAGGCAAGAAGATGTTTTCCCAAAAGGAAAACGTATAATGCTGCTGTTGAGATCCTTCACAGGTACAGCAGCCTTAATGTTAAGTTTCTATGCATTTCGTCATATGCCACTAGCTGATGCTTCTGTCATAGTGTTTTCAGTGCCTGTCTTCACAGGCATTTTTGCCAAAATGTTCCTCAATGAACCCTGTGGTCTGTTCAATGTATTTTCAGTCATACTAACTCTAATTGGGGTTGTGTTCATTACAAGGCCACCTGCATTGTTTGGAGACACTGTAATTTCATTGGGAGACACTGGCCAGAGACCAGAGATGTGGGGAGCTGTAGCTGCATTTTCAGCAACACTTTTTGGGGCAAATGCCTATGTCCTGCTGAGGGCATTGAAGGGCATTCACTTTTCTATAATCATGACAAATTTTGGCGCCTTTGCTTTGGTACAGTGTGTGTTAGTAACAGTACTTATTGGAGCTTTATGCTTACCATCTTGTGGTATGGACAGGTACTTGATAATAGCCCTGGCACTCTTCAGCTTTCTGGGGCAGATTCTTCTCACAGTGGCCCTGCAAATGGAGCAGGCAGGGCCTGTGGCAATAGCAAGAAGTAGTGATATTGTTTTTGCATTCATATGGCAGGTAATGTTTTTTAATGAGATTCCAAACAAATTTTCCATTGGTGGTGCAATTCTGGTCATGAGCTCTGTTGTTTTGACTGGGCTCAGGAAGTGGATTTTGGCTTTGCCATATGAAGCTAGACTTAGAAAAAACCTAAATTTTTTGACAAAATAGTTTAAATAAGTATTTTTCTTACATAATGATGAAATGAAGCAATCTTTTCATCAATTTTTACTTGGTACCTACTTGAAGCTTTGACAAAGCTTTTGTTTTGTTATTTTGGTGTGTTTTTGTGAATGCCTTATGTTAGTTGGTCTAGCAACCTCATATTTTCTTGTTGAACAAATGCAATGGAAGGAAAACAAATATACCCAAAACTTAACATTGAGCATTTGAGTAACAGATAAAAAACAATTCAAACCAAACCATCTCCATTACTATTGATTTGGGATATGGATATCATATTTTATCAATTCAAAGCAGTATAGGTTGCAGTTTTTTTTATGAGATATTTAAGCAGGTGAATCTCCATTTGCATTTCGGCAATAAATTTTTCCTTAAGTGATGTAAAAGTATAATAAGCCAGTATTTTGAAATGAAAATGGGTAAGAAACCCATTTTCCAATATGTACCTATACCCTATCTAGTCATTTGTGTAGAATCTCACATTGTTCCTGTTATTTATATTTCAATATATTATTACCACCTTATGTTTTCCCGATTACTCTTTCTTTGTTATCCTGAATAAAATAGTAGAAATAATACCTTAGAAGGTTATACCAAAGATTTTTGATCTTTTTTTGTGGTTTAATTTGAATAAAACTCTGATGGACCAATTGAGTGTTGTAAATTTTGAGTACATAATAAAATATGTATAAGTATTATTTGGTGTATTTGAAATTCGATATATAAAAATTATAATGCCGAAGTAAAAAAATTCGATTGATCATTGTTTTATTTACAATACACACAACAGGTCAAAAGATCATAAGTAGGGCCATCTAATGGTCAATGTCAACAACGATAGTCATAAATTTTCAGATATTTTATACGCCATCTATTAGAAATTACATGAGCTCAAAATGAATGGCGCGTCTTATGACTAGCTTACAGGATTCTGTACTAAGAACGTATTCCAAATGCGCTAAACATAATAACAGTAGATGTTCGAATTCATAGATGGCTCTAGTGGTTCTTTGCGTTATTTATGAAATTCTCCGAAATTACTTTTGGATAGAAAACATAAACGGTGCCATTTTGAAATAAAAAAGTTGAAGCCACCTCCGATTGAACCAGAAGTAACTTACGATTTATATATTTCTCGAAGAAAAGGTTTTTGTGGTTATATAACAATAAATCGTGGGTGGTGTAGTTTTTATCTTTTTGTACTCAGTTTTATATATAAAGGCATTTCTTGATTTTCATTGAATAACTCGTTAGAGGTTTGAGTTAGGTATAGGGATAGGGAGTAACTCATCCCCAAATCCATTTTATTATATGGTATAAAAAAACTGTTGTAGTGTTTTACTTGAAAAAATTGAGTTCTATGTAATTTTCCAATGCGACATCTTAAAGCGCCTGCGCCCATATGGTACAGAATGGGACAATCGAATCAATCGATGCATGGAACATCGGTTGAACGGTTTGCGGTAATATTAATCAGAAAAATCGACATATCTCGAAAACTGTCTATATATAGGCTATATGAACTGATGTGAACCCTGTGAAAATAGTATATTATTCAACGAGCGCATAATGTTGGCTATTACCCACGAAGATGAAAGTTGCAGTACGAGCCGAAGGTGAGTGCTGTAATCATCCGAATGGGCAATAGTCATTATGTGCGAGTAGAATACTATACTTTATCTACAACTACTCAAATATCAATGCAACTCTAAGAGTTCGGAAATATATCTTTGGAAATAATGAAGGTTATTATATTGCAAAATCACCAAATCTGATTTGAAATACTACTTTTTAATTTGATCGAAAACTTGTTCACAGAAATTTCAATCAACGAACAGTTTGTAACTTAATTTCAATAATTTTCATTTGTGAAAATATGATAAACAATGTTGGATAAAACTTTTTTAAACAGGAAAAAAGTCGTGCAATCACATATCAGTCAATCTTACCAGGTATTATAAGCCATCCACCGCGATGATTAATTGTAGTACCCTGTCTCTAGACGCTCAATATCAACAATGAAGTTTCATGGTTTTGATTCGAATAGCCCGCACATAAGTGTGAGCCAATCTGCAACTGTCAAGTGTCAAGTCCAATTTTATGGTTATGGTTACTCATGATGGTAGTCACTGTTGAGAATGAAAAACAGTGAATTCTCATTTCTCCGTGTATTTGTAGAATTAATAAGGTGATTAAAACTATGAGAACCATGTAAGGTGAGTGTTTTTATTTCACAAACAGTAGTATTCTGGTGTGCTTTAGTAGAACTAGAGTAGAACGACTATACCTAGTTGAATATTTGACAAGACGATTGAATGTCAGATTATTACGCCATCCTACTGTCATTATTACTCTTATTACTCGATTCATCACAATAATATAATGTAGTCAATAAATGTTGAAAATCCAGTTAGCAATGTATGAATGACTCCATAGTTGTAGATTGAACTAGGTATAATATTGTATAGCAGTGAACTCGTTGAAGATTTATCTATCAAATGCTATCAAAATATATTGGGTGTTCTATTTAAAATGAGGAAAAACTGAAAACGTGGCAATAACATTGGCGATATAATTTTTCGAACCGCCACACATCCATTTCCATTTCACCATGTTTAAAAATTCAGAAAGATCTAACGACTGGTTACTGAGATATATGGATGGTTCCATACATTTGATTAACTCTGTATATATAATACGTGAGAAATGCGGTGAGCGAGAGGCGCATCATAGGTGCCATGATGGCGGACCGGCGGCGTGCTTCATTTGTTAGCGTCCCGTCACAGTGGGTGGTAGCGCCGTTCGCTGGCGCGCGTCCTTTGTTTTATCTTCACCGAATGAATCTAGATACCTACGCGCACACCAAACGACTAAATAGGTATACCCATTTAAATACTCGAAAAAAGTGATGACTATAGAGAAATATCAGACCGCCCATACGTGGCGACTATCAAAAAACGTAAAAATTGCCTGTACACAGGGTGTTTCAGACTCAAATGTACATACGATACTGGCAGATAGAGGACACTTTGACGGTTTCATATCACCCCCATTGATGTGTTTACCGTCTTTTATAACTAAGATACAGGACGTTATCTTGATTTTGGCAAAATCTTTGAACCACGTTGTATAATCTGTTCATACTTGTTAAAAATATTCCACTTATATTACACATCAAAACTAAATGAAAATCGAGACCAGACCAGTCTGTCTTAGGGAAAAACAGAAAACTTCTTTATTTCAAAAACAACAATCTGCATGGCAAAATTTTGGGGATCTGTTCTGATATTTGGAAAGAGCAGGAAAAACTTAATGAAGTGACCTACTTATTACGATCGCGTATCGAATTTGACAGATGGTTTATTATCATGTTTTGAAATATTCACCCCATTTCGAGGCATATTTATTGAACTGTAATTCAAAATCCAATTTTGATACAAAAAAATAATTGTCTTCAGAGCTAAACTTCATTAGAGTCAAATTAGGTGAACTATTGATAAGATTTGCTCGTTTGACAGAACATCTTGTCAATGATTTTAGAAATTTTCGAGGACTCATTTTATACCTCACTATTTATTCATAAGCTGTGGTGAACTAGGCTGTGCAGAAAAATTTGAAATTCTGAAAGA